CAAGCTGTACCCGTCCCTGGTCCCCGGTCCCCGCATTAGCAGAAGACTGAACAAACCTGGTGGGTTTCTCCTTGCAGCAGCCTGGCAGCAGGGGCAGAGCAGCGGGACGGAGGCAGGAGCCTGGCCAGCTCTCGCAGAGGTGAAGGTCCATGGCAGAGCCAAGAAGCTCCATCATTTGTGGGCACACAGACATGGGAAACAGCTAGAAAGGGCTGTGCCGGTTCCTTTCCCTGGGCCTGGGTGTTTCTCACGCTTTGAGCTGTTTTGCAGGCGCAGGGGAAGGGGCAGGGCGTTACGTCGGTTGCCCCAGAGATTCAGCATGGGAAGGGCAAACAAGAATAGGAAAAATCGCTTTCCTTTCAGCTGACTCATCTCCTGGAGCACGGGCCCCGTCGCTGCCTTGGCTGCTGCGCACTTCGTGGCACAGCTCAGTGCTTCTGGACCTCCTGCTCAGCACACCCACGGAAGCAGATTTTATTGCTGAGCAATCGAATGAAGCTCTCTGTTGGAAGGGGCAGAAAAAGAGGGTCTTCCTCTGAGAGTGCACTAATTTGATTTTTCCTTATCAGTAACTTTGGGGGCAAATCCCTAAAGGCAGAGCAGGCTCAGGGAGTGCAGCGCTCTCCAGGAGCAGCGTCCTCGCTGCCGAAGGACAGGGCTTCTCTTTGAACCCAAGGGGATTTAGACAGCTAAATGACTTTGCAAATCTGACCTTGCTGCTTCGGAGGTCTGGTACCAGCCACGAAGCATAGCTCGGTGTGGTGTGCTTAATTCATAGAATTCTAGAATCATTAGGGTTAGAAAAGACCTCCGAGCTCATCGAGTCCAACCGTTAACCTAACTGCCAGGTTCACCTCTAAACCATGCCCCTAAGCATCGCATCTCCCCAGCTTTTCAATACCTCCAGGGATGGGGGCTCAACCACTTCCCTGGGCAGCCTGTTCCAATGCCTGACAACCCTTTCCATGAAGAAGTTTTTCCTAATATCCAACCTAAACCTGCCATGGCACAGCTTGAGGCCGTTTCCTCTCGTCCTGTCACTTGTTACTTGGGAGAAGAGACCGACCCCCACCTGGCTACAGCGTCCTTTCAGGCAGTTGCAGAGAGCGATAAGGTCTCCCCTCAGCCTCCTCTTCTCCAGGTTAAAGAACCCCAGCTCCCTCAGCCCCTCCTCACCAGCCTTGTGCTCCAGACCCTTCACCAGCTGCGTTGCCCTTCTCTGGCCACGCTCCAGCACCTCGATGTCCTTCTTGGAGTGAGGGGCCCAAAACTGAACACAGGATTCGAGGTGTGGCCATTCCCTGCCAATATATCCGTGACTTCCTTGGCTTGGATTAGTAGCTCTCAATCCTAAATAACCAACTACGGGGACCCAGGCCACGTGACTGTCAACAATGTAAAATCCTTATCAAAATTTGAACCATTGCTTTTCTGCTTCAGCATGGGCACAACCATCCAGTGCCCCAGAGACTGAAGCACCCGGGTGACCTGCGGGGTGGGGACGGGGTTATAACCACTTACAAAAGTTGCTTGCGATACCCACACTGTATTTCTCCCTTGCATTCCTGGAGGGCTTCCGTTCTCAAGCAGTAACGGGGGAGGTTTAAATCTGCTCAATATTGTAAGCAATTGGGGGACTGGATCATTTTCAGCCTCTCTGTACAGCACCTAGCCCCATGAATTGCACGACAAGGCTCTCTATGCACGTGCCAATACAAAATAAACCAATAGAACCGTCAGAATATAAATACGTATAAAAGAAGAAACTCTCTCCCCTCTCTTCCTGCTCTGCTGGAGGCTAACGCTGTCCCTGCCAGGCAGTAAAGGCAGCCTGGACCTTTAAGAGCAGTAGTTCCCAGCACAACTCTTTCTGGGAGCTTTGGAGCAAACCAGGGTGGAAAGCCTGAGCTCGCTGGCTGAGAGGTAAGCGCCGAGTGTCTGATCTTTACCTTCACCCTGCAGCTGTGGGGCAGCCTGTTTGGCAAAGCCCACCCCTCTGTGTCTGTATACCATGTGCTTAGCACCGTAGGCGTATTAGCAAAGTATAAACGACAGCAACCCTGCGGCTGACCGCATGCGTTGCATTGCAAGGACGCTGTCCAAGGACAAAGATCAAGCGCTCGAGACTTAAACTAACCCCTTTAGGCTGAGCCAGAGTGTATGAAAAACCCAGCTCCTGACTCACAGTGTAGCTTAAAAATCAAACAAATGGTACGGGCATGTGCGAGAGGATCCCACCTTGGAAGCTTCTCACCAATTTTAGCAGAGAAGAACTATTCAGCCTAATTATGAAAGGACACAGCAACCCCCAGGGACGCTTGCAGACAGGCAGAACTAACGTCTGAATCTCGCTACCCACCACGCTGCTCCCGCAAACATGCACGCATGCTGAATGAAGCTTGGCTGCTGCGAGAGCAAAACCGAAGAAGGCGGAGATCTGGACTGAGGCTTCAGATATTTGGCAACCCGGTTTTGGAACGCAAGCTGTCCCCTGGGCGAGGGCTTGCTCGCTGCTGCAGCCCCGTTGCTAGCGCAGGGGGAAGCGTTGTGCCAAGAAGAAAAGCTGTGTCCGGAAAGGCGAGGGAGTAAACACTGATTTACGTGAATGCTCCCTAACGCCAATGGTTTTGTCCTGTAGCTTTATTATACTGAAGCCGCCTCTTTAAGTATTCCTTGAGATCAGAGCCCATTTTGTCAGCCATGACGAGGCTGTGTCTACTCCACAGACTTTAACTTGATGAGGCCAGAGAAAGGGCAACTGGGGAAACTGAGCCACGGGCTGCGACTTTCCCCAAATATGTTTTCCTGAAGCCTCATTGCCAGCCCCCCACAGAGGGTCTCAACGGGGAGGTTGGTCACGGCTGGAAGAGGGGAGCCGGTTATACGCTGCACTCTTGCCAGGGCGCTGGGGACACCCAGACCCAGGAGACAGGTTACAGGGAGGGCTTCAGGTCTTCTGCTGCTGGCCCAGAGCAGGGGCTGATGAGTTTTTGCTTGAAAGCCAATTTCGAGCATATCAGACCCACCAGGCTAAGGGACTTGCTTGGGCCCCTCCTGGTCACAGAGGTTCAGCTCGCCAGCATGACAGGGAAAAGATGTTTCCATCTGGCTTACAAAATGGCTAAAAGGGGGAATAGAAAGAAAAAGGAGGCAGAGGACCACAAGACGAACTTGCCAGCGTACACGTGCGCTGTCTGTTGGGGAGGGAACGGCTTTCTACAGCCAGCGTTTCCAAGGAGATCCTGCCAGAGATGAGTGCCCTTGTCCTACAAAAGGGACGGAAAAAAACCATAAAATGCAGTATCAAAGGCACATTACTGTTTTTTCATGTAGCCTCTTTGGGTCCTTTTGAAGTGAAACTGTTTATTTCTTATTCCCTTACTGGGATAGTCCTCTACTTTGTTACATTTTCCTGTGGTTTTGCATTAGCCAGTCTGAATCCTGGTACCAGTGCAGATCAGGAGCGACACAACCAAGTCAAGTGAGTTGTGCTGCTGGCGTCAGAAGTGGGGTTAAAGTCTAGAGATTAGGTCATCTGATGTGCTCACCTGCTGGGGTGGGGGTATTTCCACCTATGTATTTGAGGTGGGATTTTCAGAAGGTCCCAGCACTCGCTTGAGTGCTGGCACGGGCATTGGCTCAAGCTCCTGGTCACTCCGAGGGCAGCAGCTGGACCAAAGCTGAGAATAGTCGCTGGAAGGTAATCTCTCCCATCTCATCTACATCAAAGGATTTTGGGAAAACCCTCCCAGGGAACGTGCGACCGATTTGAAGGAGCAAGAAAGCCTCCGACCTTTTGGCAGTTAATACAGCCCTTCGCAGACTGTGAATTGTTCTGGAAAACAAATATCCTTGCATGGACAAAAGCCAAATGAAATCTCAATTAAAGGCAAAAGAAGTCCTTGCAGATACCAGATTAGTCAGTGGATTAGAAGTGTTATGGGGAACCTTTTGCACCTTGGCCACGCAGCCAGTACCAATGACAGTCTCTTTCTGCTAATGAAAGGAAAGGCGATTAGAGGCATGAAGACAAAATATTTCCAATAACTTGAGCTGAAACTAAGGCCTTTGGTTTGTAAAAGATGGTAAAAGAAACCAAAAGGTGATGAATACGCCTTGTATGTAATGTATTCTTAGTGATTATCAATTCCTCTGACCCTTAGGTTAGAAAAATTAACTGTTCCTTCCTTTCAACAGCCGGGGTCAAAGCTCTGTCTGAACTCCACAGGGAAAGCAAAGAGATTAAGGAAACAACAATCTACTTCACATGGAAGCCTGCCTAAAATGGCGACACACTGAGATGTTAATCCCAGTTAGCTGAAGCCATGAATGTGAAACCTTCCAGTTAAATTACCTGTGGGATAAATAAAGAATTGCTTACCTGTTACGGTAAAAGAAACAGTAAGAAATTGCTGTGACTTTTATGCTAGTACGGTCTAGTAGCTTTTCTGCAAACCTGTTGTTTGTCAGTTTTTATAAATTATAATTTTCCCTTTAAGTAAAAGTTACTACACGTGTTTTGCCTGCTGTGGCAAAGTGAAAGAAAGGGAGAAAGAAAAGGAAAAACAGCTCGTTGCTGGTGACGCTGGTTTAAAGCTCACAGGGCAAGAACTAAGTAGCTTTTCTGCAAACCTGCTGTTTGTCAGTTTTATGAATTTTTTGTCACGTGTGACCCTCATGTCAGGCCAGAGATTCTGTTCTGCCATGTGCCATGTCTTCCCGTAGGAAAGAGGTCCACCTGGGTTGAAGGCAACCTCTGAGAGACAAAAAGCATTATTGTCACCTGCTCCTATCCTCATCTCTTTTTAAAGAAATATAGATGACACAGGCAGGTCTAGCCTGCATTCGTCTCCTGTCAAGGGCACAGATTTCTTTCAAATCCTCAATAAAACGGCCTAAGCTACATTTGCAGGCTGGTTAACCTGTGCTACAGAAATAGGAGTGAACCCCTTGACAGCTGCACAACAGTAACCGGCTATTTTTCTGCTCACACAGGCAAAATGAACATTCAGGAGTATTTCACAAGAATTTCTTATGACGAGTCCCATAAGGATGCAGACTTGCAAACTTTAACAGTCATCTTCCAGCATCACATTCAGGCAATTCCTTTTGAAAACCTCAGCATGCATTGCGGGGAGACCATCGAACTGGATTTACAATCCATTTACAATAAGATTGTGAGAAAGAAACGTGGTGGATGGTGCCTGGAAAGCAACTACCTTTTATTTTGGGCCTTGCAAGAATTAGGGTATGATGTCTGTATTCTTGGAGGAAATAGTTATGAACCAGCAGAGAGGGCATACACTGCTGAGATAAATCATATCCTACTGAAGGTGGTGATCAAGGGAAATGCCTACATAGTAGATGCCGGTTTTGGAGGTGCCTACCAGGCGTGGCAGCCATTGATGTTGATTTCTGGGAAGGATCAACCCCAGATCCCCGGCATCTTCCGCTTCATGGAAGACAATGGCACCTGGTACTTCGAGAAAGTCAAAAGGAAGCATTATATTCCCGAGCAAAGTGTCTCTTTCACTGATACTCCAGAACTGGGGAATATCAGAAAAATATATACCTTCACTCTCGAGCCACGACATATAAATGACTTTCAGGAGCTAAACACATACCTACAAGTGTCTCCAGATACCATACTTCAGAAGAAGTCAATCTGCAGTCTCCAGACCACTGAAGGGCTTTATGCCTTAGTTGGATGGACCTTCACTGAGATGAAGTATAACTACATGGAGGATGTGGACTTGGTGCAGATCACAACTCTTACAGATGAAGAAGTTGAGAAGACACTGAAAGACAAATTCAATATAATGCTGGAGAACAAACTCGTACCAGTAAATGTTCATGGCTTGCCACCTAATTTAGTGGATACAATTTAATTCTAATGCTGTGCTAGGTGGAACTTTAAATATCCAATATAAAAAGTTCTAAAATTAACGTTAGTAACATTAATTTGATTCTAAAGTTGAGCTAGCCAGATGAACACAAAGCTTGGTAAATTCAAGTACATTGTTAATTAACTGCATATACTGATTGCATATTTTTCTTAAGCTTCTCCTTCTTTAGAAACTGAGACTTCTTACTACCTCTAGTTTGCTCATATGGAAATTTCTTTTTGACTCCAAAACATTTTGTTCCACCTCTCTGGATCTCATTTTATTTCAGACATATTTTGTGGCAAAGGAGACCAAAATGATACAGAAGGAGAAGCTGTGTTACCATTTTACACAAAAGACCTCTAACCTTTTTTGGTATTCCTATCTTCTTTTTTGGTATTTCCAATCTTCTCAGCAGAATTTTACAAATTATTCACTTCCTTTAACAGTCTGAAATAGAAAGTTGAGCCAAATTTGGCTTTCAAAGACTTCATAAAAAAACCAAAGGTTAAGACTTTTTCAAAACAAGCTCCTATTAGGTGCTGATTAGCTTATGATGAAATAAGTTGAAAGACTTGAGTCCCATTCCTTTACCAGAAATTGACTTAAAGTGAGCTATTTATGCAAGGGCATTTAAAAAACCCCAAAAGCTCTCTAATATGAGTGTCCAGTTTTTCTGAGTCTGATTTTTCTGTGTCTCTGAAATCGAAACAAAATCAATAGAAGCTGAAAAGATGGAACAGTTCTTAAAAATCAGGCTTTTGGTATCAAAAATGGAAACAATCAAAGTTAAATCAACCTTTGCAAACTATAATCTAAATTTTTGGGGCCTAACCTTCCTGCGATGTCAAGCAGGCATGACAGTATTATAGATAAAACTCTTCATATTTATTTTAAACAGTATTCTGCACAAAAGCTACCTTAAATAAGTAATACAGCAGATGCGAAAGAGAACACTGGGAAGCTAGGACATGCCACCGGTGTGGTTTCACAGCATGTTATATGTAACACAAAAGCCTTTTACCTTTATGATACCTGTGACAGGTACTGTATGGGATGTGTCATGAAAGAGGATGACAGAAAAGCAACAGTCCTCAGCCAAGGAAAAGACCTTGATGCTCATATTAGTCAACCACACAGACTCACGGGGCACCTGATGCGCCTAAAACTCAGGTGCTCTCCCAGATGCAGTCTAATGTGCCCTTTGACTTCCCAAAAGGGACCTCTGACTTTCCACCTCCATCAAATGAAGAGGAGACATGCTTGACAGGGAGAGAATTAAATAAACAGCCCTGCAACACTTTAAGGATGCAGAAGGCCAAGTTTTAGAGAGGAAATGCATTTCTTTTTGCAAATAAATATTTGTCATGGTATTCGTTAGGTGTGGCAGCTCCAAAATAACTACCTGCTGCAGTGGCAGCTTTGAACAGATTGAAAAAGTTCCTTTGCAAGCAAAGAAGGATCATTTTGTGCATCTGCGGAGCCTGGAAAAATGCAGCCTGCAATACCTTGGCAATTCAGTGCACCCACAAGGAAGCAGATGACCGTCCTCCACTGCAAACTGCTGGCTTGCAAAGTAACAATAATTTAATTTAAAAAAATTACAGAGCCTTTTGCAGCTGTCTACTGTAATTATTTTACATGGAAAACAAGTTCAGTCTGGTCTTAACCAGGGGAAAACATAAACATCTGCTAATAGAGAAGAAACAAAGTTTAATTTGCTCATGGATCAGTGAAGTCCAAAAATGTGCATTCATTTTGGGTGGACTCTGCCCCTTCTCCGCATTTAAGATTCAGGAGTGAGAGCCAGCGGAGCTTAAAGAGGAAGACAGCTCTCGCAATTTGTACCCACTCCTGACTTTACTGACTGCTGCTCCAGTAATAAACAACCCAGAAGCGGAATACATCAATAAATAAATAAGGCTATTTTAAGAGGTAAGTTTATTTTCTTAAAAAAGCTCCAAAAACCCAAACAACAAACTTGGTTTATTTATGATGGTAAAGGTCATGGGCAATAACATAAGCAGTATTCTCTTTAGGAAAAATGCTATAAAAATGTGTGGATATAGAGCTAAAATATTGCCTGCTAAACATAAGCTCTTAAAAGGGGCAAAAAAATGATACTGCGATATCAATTCTTCTGTCTTTCTGCTCCTCAGGAGGAGGTTCTCTTGACTATGAGAGAGATGCCTTTGTTTAGATACAAGGGTTGATACAAATTTAGAACCACGACCTCTTCTTGGAAGTTACTCGTTTAGATTTTTAACTTTATTTAAAAATATTGCAAAGGCAAAGGAAGCAAAAAAGCAATCTAACAATCAATAGATTCTGCTTTATGGGAATAAAATTGTAGTCCTTTAAAAACAACTTAAAAAAATTAAATTAGACACTGTGGTTTGCATACCCCAGAAAGTGCATGTGCTGACGTATTAGGACAAAAGTAGAGAGATAATGTATTTTAACAGTGGAATTGCTGATTGTGTGTATAGTCCTGCTAAGGAATATTTTTGCGTGAGCACCTTCATTTGCACATTTAGAAGTAGTTCTTTAAAGTTCTGCTGCTGATGTTTTTCTCCGCATAAATCATAGCCACATTTGTGGGATTACCTTTTCAGTATCTAGCTTTTCATCTGATCTGTGCACAATTCAAAAGAACTATAGCTTTCATCTCCTACAGTCAAGATCTAACGCTGATCAATCATGTAATGGAGCTGCAGAGAGAAATTACAAACAATATAAAGTCGAGAACCAGCTTTATGCTGGTGTGATCTACTTAGCATTCACAATTTGAGTGGGTAGGATCGGATAGACTTGGATTCTTCAAATGAAAAAAGTGCCAGAAGTCTTTATGTTCTACTTAATAAATATTACATTGAGAATATGCCCCAACAATACACTTAAATATCACTGGCAGCTAAATTCCTTTCTGTGGAAGATAGCACACAGTTTTTGACGGGGCTCTCCATTCACTTTGGACAGCTGCTTCTATACCACGCATATGCACAACATGGATCTGTCACTGAAAATCATCTTGAGAAATTCCAGTTCGCAGTGAACATTCAGTGGTTCACTGCTGAATTTATCTGAATACAATAGTCTTCCTGAGTCGCTAATATTAAGTGTCTAAACCTCAGCTTACTGTATGCACAAAAGATTTCCAAGTAGCTTTGTGGGCTGTCAAGAAGCTAAATATTTGCAGTAACTCTAGACTGCTGAAATGCTTAGTGCTTTCTTTGCAAAGGTTCAAGCCTTCAAAACATTTTGTGCCCAGCTCCATACCCAAGCAGATGATCTACAGTGTGTTTTACAAACAGTATCTATCAGATACTTACAGAGCAGCCGGCAGACTGTGATGGGCCGTTGCCAAAGCCAGATGACTGTGCGTGACTTTCCATGGTATTAGAAGGCAGAAAATAAGTCGCATAGTTCCTCATCCAGCAATCTTGCTCACGAGGAGTCCTGCCAAGGCAGGCCAGGAGGTTGGCACTGCTGGAGGCAGGACAGACCAGGGATGCACTGTATGAGGCTTTGGTAATTCTCAGGTACGCCTCCTCTGGAAGGAATAAAGTGAGTTTTGAGAAAGGCCAGGACTAGAGAGATGTAAAGCAGCCCCTGTCCATTTTCAGGGCACCCTGAGAGATGTGGGGCACAGCAGGCAATAGAGATGTGCTCTTTGTTTTTTAGGTCACTTGCCTCCATTCAGATTCATTATTCCAACACCAAAATGAGTTTGTGCAACACTCAGAGCAGACAAGAGACTCAGTGGTCTGCGACTCTTGCAAAGGTCAGAGCATTTTTTCAGTTATAATTATCTGAATAAAACTTGACACGTTACAAAATGTGCAGGGAGTATTATTTTAACTTTTTATAAGTGGTGAAAAAGCAACGTGTACCGAACAAGCAATTCATTTACTGTCACGTAGATCAGTGGCAGACTCATGAAAAGAACATGTGAATCCTGGCTCAAATTATCCTCCCTCCAACTGGCAGATGACACTGCTTCCCCCACCAACACTCCTTTCACTGAACAGTGGATTTATACCGGTTTTCATGAAACCTCCTGAACACTCCCTAGCGTGATCTTACATGTCTTCTTAACCCCACTGTTACAATGCAAATACAGCATCCCTGTTCCGCAGCCGCCGCATATCAAGCTGAAATTGCATCACCTGTTTGCCATAGGGATGGCTCTCAGACAAAAAGCAAACCCTCACATACACTGCTCTTCTTTGCTCTGGGAACCATTTGATATGGATACTTGTTACCTTTAAAAACTGGTCTGATGAGGTTCAGTAGATTAAAGCATCTTTGCTGGCAGCAATCTGGGCAGTTTTTCACAGCATCATAAATCATTGATGTAAAGAAACAAAACCAAAAAGCAATTCCTTCCTTTACAGGTGACATGAACCTTGAAGAATATTTTGCGAGAACTGGCTATAAAGGTTCCCTTGAAAAACAAGATTTGGAAACCTTAACCGATATATTCCAGCACCACATCCGTGCTGTTCCCTTCGAAAACCTCAGCATCCATTGCGGGGAGAAAATTACTTTGGAGTTGGAGCACGTTTATAACAAAATCGTACGGCGGAAGCGGGGTGGCTGGTGCATGGAAAACAACCAGCTGTTGGGCTGGGTCCTGAAAAGCCTGGGGTACGACGCCAGCTTTCTGGGAGCGTATGTGTTCAATCCACATCAAAACACATATGCCACCATCATGACCCATCTCCTCGTAAAGGTAGTTATTGATAGCAAAGCCTATATTGTTGACGGAGGCTTTGGTGTGTCCTATCAGATGTGGCAGCCGATGGAGCTTGTGTCGGGGAAAGACCAGCCTCAGGCTCCCGGCATCTTTCGCTTCATGGAAAAAAACACCATCTGGTACCTTGAGAAAGTGAGACGGAAACAATATATCCCCAATCAAAATTTCTCTAATTCTGATCTTCTGGAGAAAAAAGACTGTCGGAAAGTTTATATGTTCAGCCTTGAGCCACGGACAGTGGAAG